AGGGGGGGGGGGGGGGGGGGGGGGGGGGGGGGGGGGGTACTTTGGGAATTTTGGGGTGCAGATGTGCCGCTGGGACCCTGGAACCCTTAGCCTATACCAAAGCTAGTTCAGGTGAATTTTGCTACCCTATACTAGACTAAACTCCCCAAATGCCCCCCCCTATCCTAAAGTGTCTTGGAGGCAGAGTTGCATAAATTTAAACTTGTCGATTTGATTTTCTTATATTTTTGAGTGGCAATTTCCCTAGTCTAGACTAAAATCTTCAACCAATTGATCAGTTTCCTGGAAAATGTTACCTTATTCTAGACCCAAGCTCTCTGATTTATATACCCTATCATGCAGAATAAACTGCTTGAAAACCATACCCTTCACAGCAGCACATACTTATATAACCCATATATGTCAGTACCTTCTGGGAGCCAACCTGCCATTTCCTGGCATTTCGGCTTAAATAAGGTCGCCCCCTATAAATGAGTCTCCACATCGGCAACGCTTAAAATGTAACAAACGCCGCAGCGTTTAATCAAGTAAATAGAGTATATGAAAAGAGTACCATTTTGGGGAAGGGTTTAGATTCTGAGGCAAACATCCCCGTCAAACAGTTTTCACAAGTTAGGATCCTTCATATGGACTATACTAACACCGGCTGTAAACTCATAAAAGAAGACACCATAGGAAAGTACTCTTAACTGGGTTGCTGAATCAAACAGAAATTCAAAAATTTTGATCGCATTGTAAAACAAAAAATAACAGAGGAAAGTGATTAGAAAAAAAAAAGGTCAGTGTCATTCATTTAATTGTTTCTCACGGACACTAAACCCTTAAAAATGAGACCTTTTCCCGATAACTCGAGCGCCGATTAGGCACGTTCGTCTAGTCTCTAGACTGGCATAAATCGGCGCCGGACTCCGACTTTGTAATGTTCATATAGTCTTATAAATAAAGATTGCAAAACAAAGGCACAAGTAGAAAAACAATTCAGTTCAAATAAGGAAAAAAAGTAATACATGAAGATTAATAGAGGATTTGGATATTATAAAACCTTTTTAAGAACATAAAGCAAGAGATGAAGATTAATGTGTATTTGGATATATTTATAGAACTTCTTAATAAAAAAAGAACCAGACACTTTTTCAGCCATCTCTTGGGTCAGATGTGCTTTTTGGAGGCCCCTTATGAGCAGGTTTCAAAATGGGCAGCTCAGACTCTATGGGAGCCGTTAAAACCCAATAAACAAAGTAGAACCTTATCAAAGACAGCATTACAGGCATAATTAAGAATGACTTCCCTTGTATCTCTCAGTTTGTCTCTTTACTGTTTGAATTGCTTTTGCAACCATTTTGAAGCCTGGCGAGTTCTTCTGCGCGGGGTGTTGTAAACAAGGGCTCAAACTACAAAAAACGACCAGCGGAAAAACGAAAAACAGATCATGTAGCATGAATTCGTTATCCCGTCATCCCGACACAAATTTTCGCTGACTCCGTAATCCCGCATTCCGCGAACACTTTCAATCCCGAATCTCGCACTCTTTTTGCTTCATATCCCGAATCCCGGATCCCAAAAAACGTTTGGGGACCCTCGTAAGTATATGAACACCAATTAAACTTGACTCATGATACTTTAATATTTTCAGTTCTAAAAGATACGTAATGCCTCTTATAGCATTATGTAAACTAAAATTTTACAGCAAAATAATAATGTTAACAAAAGCAACTAAGGTTCTGTACACCACTTCTTGCATTCGTTACTTAGTAATGGCTATTGTTGAGAAGTTACTTGCTTTTGGTAGTTGCAGAACCCAATTTAGTTGCCATTGCGTTTGCAGCCAATGATCGAAGCTGTTACAGGGATTTCAAATCAAGAATGAATGTATGGACCAAAAAGTGGCTTAGGAGGATATTTTTACACGATACCGGATAGACTTTGCGCCCGCAAGAAAACTACACTGGATAGGATTTCTGTTCACACACAAGAATGGTGATTACGCCGCAGCTTGAGCGAAGCTGCGCCTAGTCTGCTAAACAGCCGTTTTTTAGTGTCGTCACGCAATGCCCCTCCCCACTAACTTAGTGGGGAGGAGCGTTGCGTGACGACACTAAAAAACGGCTGTGTAGGAGACTAAGCTGCGCCACGCCGATCCCTAAAGTGATGAGTCAGATGTCGGATAGCTTTTCGTGTTGGCACAAACAGCTATTCGGTATAATATGAACATAGCCTTTTAGATAGCCTGCGTAGCAAGCGTTTCCGTGCGAGTCGCTGTAACGTTCGCGCAATAACTCGGTTGGAAACGCTTGCTACGCAGGCTACCTTTCAGAGAGGTTCATGTTAGAAGAGGTTTAATCTTCCGAAACACTGAATTATTGAAAAGGCAGTAACCAAGATTTTACTCGAATTGATCATCACGAAAGGTGTGTGTTAAATGATTACTTTAGTCAGGGGTCCACTCCCGCTTTACTAAAGGCTGTGTTTTAGTACAGGTGTAGCTTAGACTCTTTTTAGAGAAATTGTCTACCCCTAACTTCGAACGGCCCAAATGGCATATGAAATTTTGAAGCAAATTCAACACTGACACAATGCGATCTGCGTTATGTCCAAGCTGCTAGCTCTTACACTGTATCATTAGGGCTAGCTTTCCAATTTCAGAGGGATTTTAAAAGAGTTTTAACAAAGCTTACGGAACAGCTGGTGCGCATTGCATCGTTCCAACGACCCTCCACGTCAATCTAGCCCACCACTAACAGGGACAACGAAGTAAATTTTAGATTTGGGGCCGAGATTATCTGCATATTATCTGTTGGGGGAGGGGCACGCTCCCACGAAAAATTTAGAGCTTCTGAACCCGAAAAGAATTTATTTCTAAGAATCGTGAGAAATTTTTGTCAAATTTTTTTCGCCATTCTGTAGAAAATTGTGCTGGCGTTGCACAAAGGTTAGAAGTAGTTATGGAAATGCACAAACTAACAAAACAAACAAACAAAGAAACAAAACTCCCGCCGAAATTATTGGTGGGGCTATATCCCAACCAGCCCCATAGCTCCACGATCCCTGTTTGAGAGGAACCAATTAATTGAGGCAAATAGATTTTATGTTAATTCTACCCAAGAGGTACGATTATTTATAGGTTTGGTTCAATAATAGATGGTAAAATGTCAGGAACATTCTTTATCCTAAAATCTAGCAGCATCTGACCAAGTGCCTTGCCCTGCAATGAAAAAAATAAATTCACTGAGAAAAACGTGACAATGAATACATGAATAAAGAATCGCTACCGTGAATCAGAAGGTATAAAACGAGGAAAAAGGAATAGAAGAGAATTCTTCTTTTCGCAAACAAATACTTTTTTAAAAGCATTATCAATGAAACAACTAAAGCTTCGGTAAAACGGGCAACAAAAAACGTGCAACTTGTTTTGCAACATTGTTGCAAAATGAGGTGAAAAGCGATGTTGCGCGTTTTATAACTCACGTTAAAAACTGTTAACAACCTTATTTGATGCAAAACAGGTTTGATGTGGGTGGTAATACGCGCAAAGTCGCTATTCAACTCGTTTCGCAGCAATGTTGCAAGACAAGTTGCATGATTTTTGGTGCCCGTTTTTCCGTACCTGAAAGGGTCATTTGCACAATAGCGTCATTTTACTCCTACTACCAAAATCCTTCAGGGTTTTGCTTTCCTTTGCAAATTAGGGCCTTCATTATTTTAACCTCACGAGACCTCATGAAAGGAAAAGACGTCCTGAAATGTGGTCTTAGTAGTAAAAAGATATCATCGAGCAAGTGGCCTATTAATGTTGTAATAAAGGGTAATCAATCAGTCAATCGGTCAAATAGTCCAGCAATCAACCAATCAGCGAGGGAGACAGCAAGTGAGCTAATGATCGATTCAGAAAGTCAGTGGACAATTGGTTCGCGGTGTTCACCTAAACAGTTTTAGGTGAATGTGATTTTTAGACTGTTAAGTTATGAATTCACAAAAAAAGAGAACAATATATCACATAGGGCGTGACTGTACGATAAATATAAACTGAAATTTTCCTTTGCTACCTTGGCGTTAACCAGCGCTTTTTTTTTTTGGTTCAACCCGACTCGCAAAGCAGTTTGGGAGAGCAAGGGCCCCAATCACTCAGAAAATTCTTTTAACTAAATTCCCCCAAAAGAACCTTTCCATTTTACCTGTGGATCGCTACGTAAAGATGTTACACCGCCACCTCCTAACGCGTCCTCTAGAACAAAGTTAAACGCATTGATTCCTGGAAGTTCGTATCTGCAAAGACCACAAAGTAGATTAATTAAATAAATTAATTCAGTTGTTTTAAAAGCACTATAAAATACCTATAACAAGCACAGTTAACTGCTGTAACTGATGACCCCTAGTTCTATCTTTTGAGTCGTGGATAAAATCCTGTGGCGTGACATTGAAGAGAACGTTATTCAACGGTGCTTTTAATACATAGTACCGTTCCTTTTGTAGCGTTTTTCAAAACAAACTATCTAAAGTAATTTTTTTTTTTCAATTTATTCACTTAGTGACGTTAAGGACGATTGGGAGAGAAAGAGTTAAGCCGCACAAACCACCAAGATACTAAGCGCCAACATAGGTCAAAGTCTACCTGCAACTAGCCTGCGTAGCAACCGTTTCCGTGTGATTTCGGAGCAAAGAAAGACCGAGGAACGACGTGGAACGGGATTTTCGGTTTTGGCTGCGCGAAAAATGGAACGAGAGCCCTCCCCGCTGTTTTAATCGCCCCATTTTTCGCGTGGTCTTTGACTCTCGTTCCTCGTTCTTTGCTCACAAACCGCACGGAAACGCTTCTTACGCGGGATAACCTACAACGGAAGTTTCTTTACCGTTTTACTCGACAACGTCCTGCTTCTGGTAATGAGGGAAATAAATGCTTGAAGTATTTTTCTACAGACTCCTCGGTAAGAGCAGCACGGATAAAGGGAACATAAGAAGGGTGACGAGCAATAACACCTGTAAAGATAAAAAATTAAGTTGGTGTACAACTCAAATGAGTTAAACCTCCACCAACATAAAATTTCAAAATTACTTCTCCCGAGAAATGCAAGTACTGCACTCGGTTACTCTTCTTACTGTATTTGCATTTCTCGTTCATTCTATAACCAGCGCTTGCGTTCTCTCTTTTGTTTTCGTTGCCGATAAAACCCTCAAATCGTTCGCTGATCTTATTTTCTTTGAATAAAACACGGGAGGCTCTGCAAATACCCTAAAAGTGTCTTCCTTACCGCGCGCATGATTAAGGTACTGGCCTACCGGTGTGTCGCATGATCAGGTGATTCACGTGGTCAGCATTTCTCTGTCGCCTTATCCAGATAAGAATGTACTAGCCTGCGTAGCTGGCGGTATTGTGTAGTAGTCGAGTGAGATTTGGCGGCGGAGCCGTTGTAATATAGTCGAGTGCGATTTGATGGCGGAGCCGTCACCCCTTTTTTTGGAACACGGCTCCGCCGCCAAAACTTTAATCTCGCACCCACACAATACCGCCAGCTACACAGGCTAAGAATGTACGGACGCCTCCAAGGGGAAAAAAGACACAGAATATGATTGTGATAGTATTACCTATGTTCACAGAGTTTCCTTTATCTCCGCTTCTTGTCAGCGCCAACGAGCTGAGTGGAAATGTGCAACGACCTTTTGGCATTTCTTTGAAAAGAAACAACAAATCAGTTGTCGTTGGAAATGATTAGAGAACAAATTCTCATAACTTTCGCTTTCTCCCGCTAATAAAGAAGTAAACTAGCAGCCTACATATGGTAATCAAATGACTATAAATGGACATTGAGTGTTCCTTTAATAACAAATAAGCTGTGATTTGATATTCTCGAAGAAAAAAGAAAAAGATCTCAATTAACCCTAATGTAAAAGAGTGTTCTATTCATGGTCTCTCACAAAATAACTGCGATTTCTTTACTTTTAGCAAAGAGAACCGGACTAGGAGCAAGCTTAGGTATAAAATTATTGAACCTTATTGTAAGAAAAATGTCTTTATATATTTCTTTTCTCCTATAACTGCTTAAGATTGGAATCATCTCTTTAGTCAAGTGTCATCTCTCACACCCTTAACCAAATTTAAAGACATGGTATTAAAGCGCAGAGCGCAGTACGAGAGCTCATTCTTATTTCTCGTTACATGTAGATCATCAGAGAATTAGACTAAGGCCTCCATTCAAACTGCTAACATGGGCCTCCGAAAGCTTAAGACCTGTAAGGGCTCACAGGCTGTACGTATTACGTTTGAATTCAAGACTAGAGAATATGTGATATGGGTTCTTTAAACTCCAACAGGCGTTATTTAAAAACACCATAATACTTTTTGTTTTCCCTTCAAAATTTCTCTTGGGACTTATAATCCTTCAAGAGAAACCCCTATGCACATTTTGGAGG